GTGGTTTCCCCTTGTCAGTGGTGCAGGGCCTGACAAGGAACAGTGTCTAGTCTTTCGGATAGGGCGAAAACCGATATCCCATTACACATTGGCGTACACGGCAAATATCCCTCGTATGCTCGTCTTCATTAGCCCACTCGGTGCAGAAAAGTAGAACGTTAAATCCGACTTCATTCGCTCTGTACAGGGGCGGATACAGAGGGTACCATCCCCTTCCCGCTCAGTTACATAAAAGAAATTGTAAAACAACATTTTTCATGAGAAAAGTGTCACGGTCGTGTGCGTTATCCTTTATCGGCTGGTTCTACTATGACGGATGGTCGTCTGACAAGCTTAGTCCTAATGAACTATACTTTCTAACTAGCTAGATGTGGGGATCACGTGGCTAAGTGGGTAAGACGCTAGCTCGCTAGCCTGGAGGTCGGGTGTTCATCCAGATTTTCCGGCGTGGTTCTCCCTTGTCAGTGATGCAGGACGGAGGGGCTGACAAGGAAAGCTGTCTAGTCGTTCGGATGGGACGAAAAACCGAGGTCCCGTGTACACATTGGCGTGCACGTAAAAGATCCCTTGGCAGTTTGAATTCGATATAAGAGTAGGCCGTAGTGCCGCTGTCCGGGCAAAATTTCCCTCATAGCACACTGTATGGCGTATGCCCGTCTACATTAGCCCAGGTTAGGAGCAGAACAGTAGGACGTTAAACTCCATTTCATTTCATTTCATTTCTAGCTAGATGTCCATGACATCGGTTCATCAAATAACACCCATGCCGTTTATTCTCCCCAATATATTTGGAGTCATAATTGGGCTAAACTCTGTTTTAGGTTCTTGTCGAGTTGTCTATTATTTATATGATGGATCTTCTTGTAATCTGATTATAACACAGATCCTATTTCGTTTCGTTTTTTATAGTTCAAAATTTTGTTTTACTTGTCTTTGCTACACTAGGATCTGGAAGAGTTGTTATCATTGACGTGTTCTGGATGGTGTTAGGTATTATCCAATGAAACGGTCTGTTACGGTGAGCTTTAGGCGTGGGTAATCCATTAGAAACATCAATGCTGATTGGTTAATCAAATGCCTGACGTCATAGTGTCAAAAAACGCACGTATTACCTCTGACGCGACCTTCCACTATAACTTGTCAGATCTTCATGTAGTGTAGGCCATCGAAAGTATAAAAAAACGAAACGAAATATAGATCTGTATGTTAATCAGATTGGGTTTTCTTGATATTTTGGTTTTTGACACCGTCGCGGTCGGTTTGGGTTTTTCCTATTTACTTCCTTAAAGTTTCCTGTTTAAATCTTGGAGAAGTGATTTTATTGCATACCAGTAAAACTAAAACTAGTATGTACATGTATTTAATATGTTTTTATGTAAAGTCCTAGTTCCTGTGCTTTGTTAAAGAGACCCCCGGTCACCCCAGATATACGCAAAAAAGGACGATTTAGACCATTTATTTTTCAAAAGTTTCAAATTTGGGGGAAGAGAACCCATCCTGAGCCCCCCCCCCCCCCCCCCAAGATACATTGTCTCCGGAACCTGGCAAACCTCCTGCAAAAATTCCTGGATCCGCCCCTGCTATATACGTTTAAACATTACGTATTTTGAACTTTCAAGATATTTTATACTTTTCCTCTCTTTTTCTTTTTTATCTCCGTGAAAGCCGTTTAGTATATATATATATATATCCCTGTCAATGACGTGTATAATGACTAATTTAAGCTGCACGTGGTAATAAATATCAGTGATTTGGTGTAACTGGACACTGAATCTAATAATTAGAACAGATAATTGAATTAGCTCTAGTCACACAACATTTACCGACTCAACCTGAGTCTCCAAATCATTCTAGTATTGATAGTTGATATACAATATTCACTGATGTTAGCCTCTCGTTTTTACAATAGTCACCAGTTTACCCATTTATAACTACCATCAGAATCGTTTTGTGTTTACGGGAATCACGAGTTACCCCACTTATAAATAAAGCTAGAAACATATCGTGTTTACGGTAATTACGAGTTAGTTCACTTTTGAATAAAGATAAAAACAATAAACAGTGTTTACAGTTTACCCCCACTTATAAATAAAGCTAGAAATATGTCGTATTTACAGTAATCACGAGTTACCCTATTTATAAATAGAGCTATAAACATATCGTGTTTACAGTAATCACGAGTTACCCCACTTAGAAATAAAACTAGTTTCATAGTGTGTTTACGGTAATCACGAGTTACCCCACTTGTTAATATAGCTAGAATCATCTCGGGTTTACGATAAACACGAGTTACTCCATTTTTAAATAGCGTAAGTATTTCCGACATCCCAAACCGACGCATGGAAGTATTATCGTTGTTGCCTAGTTTCTGATTTACTGCAGAGGTCGGTGAGGGGGGGGGGGCGTTTATGGGGGAATTCTGGGTTAGTATTACCTACCCCTAACCCTTGGGAGTTGAGCTGCGGTGACTCGGTTAGTAAGATGTTGGCTCGCTAATCTGGAGGTTCCGTGCTCGATCCCGGTGTTGGCCAAGAAAGTGCATCGGGATTTTCCGGCGTTGTCCCCACAACCCTCCCATGTCAGTGGTGAAAGGGCCTGACAAGGTAGAGCGTCTAGTCGTTCGGATGGGACGAAAAACTTAGATCCCGTGTACACATTGGCGTGTAAAGAACCTTGACATTGGAATTCGAAATAAGTATAGGCCGTTGTGCCGCTGTCCGGGCAAAATTTCCCTCATAGCACACTGGGTGGAATATACAATTCTTCATTCGCCCAGTCGAGACAGAATAATAGGATGTAAAACCAACATTTCATTTCATTTGCTTGGCGTGTGGGAATTGCCGACCTCAACTAACCGGTCTGAGACAATCGACTCTCTCACTAGTATCAATCTATCTGTAACTTGGATCAATGGATAGTATAATATGGAGACGTGGACCGTTACATGCCTAATCACGCCTCGTACCATGACGCGACAACCAAATCACAGCCCAATCAATAAGAGAGACTAGAATTAGTTTAATTAATCTTATAAAGGTAGAACACATTCTATTATACTATCGAACAACCATTGATAAACTGACACACATCAATCAAAATCATTAATCAATTATCGATTATTGAAAGTGTCGAATAGAGGCTAACCAGTGCAATAATGGTCAATGTACACTATTCTGTCACCGTTTGGAAACTTCTTCTCTTCCCTGTATACCGGTTATTCTATCTAATTCCACCTTTGACGGACGGACGCAAGTTCTGTTCTAGTCACGGGGGTTGGATGACCGAATGGTTAGCGCGTGGGCGTTGTCTGTCTTTGCGTCAACTGGCGTGGTTTCGATTCCCCGGTTGTGCGTGACAAGGAGTAGGGTCGCCTGTCCAACCTCGTGGGTTTTCTCCGGATCCTCCGGTTTCCTCCCACTGCTCAAATTGAACCATATGTTAGTCCCGAAATGAGCTAGTTTGTGTCGAATGGACGTTAACCCCCGACCCCTGGCTCAATCGCGCCTTGTTGAACGAGCCGCGGGAATTTAGATCCATGTTTCTTCATGTCGATGACACAGAGTGGAGTTTGGCGAGGAAAAGCGACTGGTCGTTTGGATGGAACGCAAAGCCGAGGCCAATGCTTGTATGCGTTGACGTGGAAAGTTGGAATTCAATGATGGGAAAGGTGGACAAACCGCTGCCCGGGCAAAAGGGAGAGCGAGAGAAATGGGATTTAACGTCCACTCGACACAAACTAGGTCATTTTTATGGTTCAATTTTATTTCAATAATTCGCTTGCGCGTATGGGTCTTTAGCAGTGGGAGGAAACTAGAGGAATCCGAAGAAGACCCACGAGGTTGGACAGGCGGCCCTACTCCTTGTCACGTACAACCGGGGGAATCGAAACCCCGCCAGTTGACTCAATGACAGACCGTATGATACAGCGCAGCGCGCACGTGCTAACCATTCGGCACCCCCCCCCCCCCCGCCCAGGCAAAATGTTACACATAGCACACTACATGGTGTATACCTGACGTCATTTATCTCGATGTGACGTAGGACGTTAAGCCTAGTTTCATTTCAATTTTGTTTGCGTGGCCTCTGTTATTATAACTAAAACGGTCGTTCCAAATTGTTTAAAATAATTCTACAGACATCGTTTAAAAAACATGATGATATTATAATGACTTTCTTCAAAATTTCCTCTCGGGACACTGTACGTAATAAACTAAGTAATTGATCTCTGTTTCTGCTTTCAGTTTTATGTTCTGTAGAAGACGTTGGGGTAAATGAGGTTTGGAGTAAACCGGTGTATTTAGAATCGGGGTAAACCGATGTATTTAGAATCAGGGTAAATTGATGTATTTAGAATTGTGGGTAAAACGATGTCTTTAGAATCGGGAGTAAACCGTTGTATTTAGAATCGGGGTAAACCATTGTTTTTAGAATCGGGAGTAAACCGTTGTATTTAGAATCGGGGTAAACCATTGTTTTTAGAATCGGGAGTAAAACGTTGTTTTTAGAATCGGGGTAAACCCGTATATTTATAATCGTCAGTAAACCGATGTGTTTAGAAGTAGCCAAGTGCGTATAGAGCAGGTTCACCAATCAGGAGGACCGCGTGTTAGATCCCAGTGTTGACAGAGACAGTTCCTGGAGATTGGCCAGACTGGTTTCCGACAATGATGGTGTGAAAAACACCGGACAAGTAGAGCGTCGTCTACTCCTTCGTATGGGAAAAACAAACTTGGCCAATCCGTGTACACACTGAAGTGCTCGTTAACTGACCCTTGCCGTAGAGCTGCTGTCCGGGCAAAATTTCCCTCGTAGCCGTCTTCATTAGTCTAGTTGGGGCAGAAAAGTAGGACGTTAAACCCTATTCCATTTTATTTCTTTAAAACCGTAGACTATTCCCTCGTGTATTTTAACCAAATCGCTACTTTCAATTTGATGCTATTATTTTACACATATCAAAGAAGTTTCACCCACTTTTAAATAATAACATTTTCAAATCGTAATGGATCTTCACTGTTTTATTTTTCGACATATCAAAGACGCCATTATCGTTTTTAATAAACATACACTAAGTCGTCTAATGGATATGACATTCTAAAAACTAATAATATTTAGGCAGAGTAACCGATCGTATCTTACGTCCATTCATCATCAAACTTTCAATAACAGAATCAGATGTTTGATGGCGAAATACAAAAGGATAAATTGCATATAATTTTTTACAAGAGACATTTTTTTTATAGATGGATGGAGAACCTGCTTCTATTTTATGTAAATAGTTGGTGGTTGAACAGACATGTATTAAATAGTTCGTCACTAATACATTTAATATATAACACGGAACAGGTAATAACACTTCTTCAAACGGTCGATATTGTAAAGGGAACACGTCGGATTTTTTATAAACAAAGTCTTCTTTATAATGAGGTATGTTGTCCCATATATGGGTTTCATTTTCTCCGAATAGGAAGATATCGATAAATGGCCATCGATATGGTTTTGTTTTTAAAGTCGTTAAGCCCTTATGATAGAACTTCCATTGTCTTTTATACGGAGAAAATAAACCAAAGTTGGGAATATTTGATAAAACTGCTCTAATTGTCTGTTTCTCGGAATAATTCAACATGACGTCAATATCGTCATCCCACGGTATAATTCCATGATGTCTATAAGCACCCAGTAGTGTTCCACCATACAGGAAGTACGTAATATTAGCTGATTGACAGGCGCGGATGAACGTGTCAAAGGTCAACAACATGAAGTTCCGCTCGTCTGGTGTAATGATTGGTTGAAAATACATAAACAGATTGGAATACGACATGTCATCGAAATATGTCGTCTGCATCTTGCCAATGAGAGAAATATTTTTATTAAACGTCATATTTCTGATGGCAGGAAATAATAATTTGCTACTTGGAAGAAGCGTTGTATGTCTGAGTTCTGGTTCCATATATGGTTCATTGTGGTTGTAGGTCGTTACCATGGTTACAGAGCATATTATTTGGTATAATGAAAATAGCACCATGGCAACTACTAGGACTAATGGCACTTTTAACATTAAGAAACAAACACGTAACATAATTTAGATGTATAATAATCTACTTTAGCCTAATCTTGTCACCATGACAACATGCTTATATTATACGTGGATACTCGGCTATGGCAATCATTAGTCTATTCATCAACAAATTATATATTCATCAACGTGTTACATGCGAAATACACCTTCACACGTCACTTCCTGCCAACCTAATCTTGTCACCGTGAAACCATTCCCGTATGATTCGCAGGTACTCAGCTATGACAATCATTAGTCTGTTCATCAACCTTCACACGTCACTTCCTGCCAACCATCAACACTAGTAGTAAAAGCTCATGCATCAGGAGGAATAGAATATGCTGGGTTACTTCTATTAAAAAAAATCAAGAATACTTGGCAACATCCGGTAACCAATGGTTGACTTCATTCATAAAAAAACGTACCGATTCGATAGTGATTTACTACTTCCGGAAAACAACGGCGATGTGGCGACACAATCCAATTATACGTCACGAGAAGATATCAAGTATCTACTTTGACATTATTAGGTTCAATCAAAGTATCCACTGATCGTCACGTGCACTGTATTCACATTCTTATCTCGTCTACGTCACTTCCCCTTCCACTGTCCACACCTTTTCGTTCGAGGCCACAAATTATGGATATTCTAAGCCATGATAAAACACACCGCTCAGCTGTTCTTTACACATTCCCGTACTTTATGTAATATTTGTGATCATCATCTTCGACTGGAACTGTAAATAAAATACAAAACAATATATTAACCCCTGAAAAACAGTATGAAATGTTAAAAATACAAGGTTCTTAGTTCTATGTCTTGGCTTTATTTTTCAGGTGTGCTGAAGTCACCAAATACTTATTGGCTAATTATTTAGTTCCACAATAAGCTCCGCAAAATTTGAGTTGGCAATGGAAATGGAATGGGGTTTAACATCCTACTGTTCTGCTCCGACTGGGCTAATAAAGCCAGGCATACGTCATACAGTGTGCTATGAGGGCAATTTTGACTGGACAGCGGCACTACGGCCTACTCTTATATCGAATTCCAACTGTCAATGGAGCTTTTACGTGCACACCAACGTATACACGCGACCTTGGTTTTTCGTCCCATTCGAAGGACTAGACAGCTGTCCTTGTCAGGCCCTCCGTCCTGCATCACTGACAAGGGGAAACGACGTCGGGAAATCCTGATGATCTTGCTCTCGATCTGGCTGGCGCGCTAAACATGAAGTCCCGGATTCGATCCGAGTGTTGACTCGATCTGGCTGGCGCGCTAAACATGAAGTCCCGGATTCGATCCGAGTGTTGACTCGATCTGGCTGGCGCGCTAAACATGAAGTCCCGGATTCGATCCGAGTGTTGACTCGATCTGGCTGGCGCGCTAAACATGAAGTCCCGGATTCGATCCGAGTGTTGACTCGATCTGGCTGGCGCGCTAAACATGAAGTCCCGAATTCGACCCGAGTGTTGACTCGATCTGGCTGGCGCGCTAAACATGAAGTCCCGGATTTGATCCGAGTGTTGACTCGATCTGGCTGGCGCGCTAAACATGAAGTCCCGGATTTGATCCGAGTGTTGACTCGGAGAGGTTCCTCGGGATTTTCCAGAGTGGTTTCATTTTGTCAGTGATGCAGGACAGAGGGCCGTGTTCACGTTAGCGAGCACGTTAAAGTAAGTCGTAGCCCAGCTGTCCGGGCAAAAAGTCCCTCATAACACACTGTATGATGTATAATATGTCCGTCTGAATTAGCACAGGACGTTTAACCCGCCTTCCTATCTCACCTGAACATCACACTACAATCCGTTTCACAGAGGTATTGCGAACACTAATATCTCTGTTCAAGGTGACTACTTTCAATTTGTGACGTCATATCACGCGGCGTCAATCATTGGCTTAGTGGCGCGTGCATTGCTTACATCTATAGACGTTACTAGTCCGAGCAGAATGGTGTCTTTTACTCATTTTAATACCCATTTACACTAAATAGGAAATATTGTTTACCTACAAATACTTCAAACGTCTTTATTTATTTTTCTAATGCTTAAAAAATGTTCTAGAATTTAATTTGCAGAAGGAAAAAAGTTAATATTAGGGGCTCATTAAGCCGCATCGATGTTTTCCCTATCAGTGATTGTAGCGCACTAGCGAATATTCACTGCTTATCAGAGTGAGCACACTGCTGACAGTTAAATTAGATCGTTTGACTGCCTTAAAATCCAAATTAATGAAACCACGCTTTACAAGGCTCAACAATCGTTTATAAATAGAAAACAATATCTCGATTATTGACAACTTAATTAATCGTTATCGCCGTGAATGATCAACCAAGCTTATTTATCAATAAAATACAATCCAACTTGAATAAGCTCGTATAAACACTCGTCACGTGATACGTCAAATACCCTTTTACACGGCTAAACCTATTTGTTAAGGCCAGCTCAATTTTTGTCAAGGTTGCTGAGATGTAAATAAGGTTAGGGCACGTGATTGTTAGCGAGATTGTAAGTTAGAGTAAACATTGGGGCTAGCCCTGTTTGCATCTCGTGACCTATGACGAAAAATTGAGCTGGCCTTATCATTTAGCACTTAAGTCATCAATGTCATTATCTGACGTCACAAATTGAGTGTTTCCATTCATCCGTACCATCAAGTTATTAAGAGATAAATAGAGTTTGAGCGATCATTATATGACGTCATACATGTAGTTCTACCATTCATCCGTGCCAGCTTGTTGTTTAGACATAAACAGAGTTTGGGCGATCAATAAGATCGATAAATTACAACCACGATTCAAATTATGATCATTGGCCAAACTTATTGATTCATGTCCATTCTTTCTATACGAGTTGCTGTATCTGACACGTTCGTAACGTTATATAGAGAAGCCATATTTATATAATACCAGTATTCTATAATTTCTGTGGCTGACATTGTCAGGGTGTCTCATTTATTACACGGTTTGCATTAAAGGCCAACTCCCCACTATGTAGATATTTTATATTCTATTTAGTATTGAGAGAGAGAGAGAGAGAGAGAGAGAGAGGGGGGATATATTAGTCCCGAAATGACCTAGTTTGTGTCGAGTGGATGTTAAACCCAATTCCTCCCCCTTTAATATCACATTACAAGTATTCAAGACATCACGTTAGAGTGTTATCAATTGGCGTTCACCATGGACTTCTATCTTAAAAACCTTCAAATTTCTCAAATAAAACATGTTTCAAAACCAAAATGAATTAAATGAAATGGAGTTTAACGTCCTACTGTTCTGCTCCGAACTGGGCTAATGAAGACGGGCATACGCCATACAGTGTGCTATGAGGGAAATTTTGCCCGGACAGCGGCACTACGACCTACTTTTGTATCGAATTCCAGCTGTCAAGGGATCTTTTCCGTGCACGCGGATGTGTACACGGGACCTGGGGTTTTGGTCCCATCCGAAACACTAGACAGCTGTCATTGCCAGGCACCCCGTCCTGCATCACTGACAAGGGCGAACCACGCCGGAAAATCTGGATGAACTTTCTCGGCCAATGCAGGGATCGAACACCCGACCTCCAGGCTAGCGAGTCATCGGTAGATAAGGTTTGTTTACACCAAGTGAAGAAAGATGAACAACGGAAATTATTCGAGAATATTACAAGTATGGCCGTCTTCCCTAAGCCAGTGAGTGTGGAAATTATGACGGTGTCTGTGATTCTCCTAAAACGGCGAACGGCGAACGCCAAACAAATAGGAATAATGCGACTTGATGATCGGGATTCCTTTATTTCCAGTGTATTTTTTTTTATTCTGCTGTAAAAATTACCGGGAAATTCTAAGAAGTGCCTGACTGTGCTGATAATACGAGAAGGCGAATATTATAAATGTCATTTAAAAACATGTCTTCTATCGCCCCATCTCCACCCAAAAACGCACTCCTTACCATGCGTTAAGTTTTCATTCGATTTCCGCAAGTTTTATTTCTTCAAAAATAAACTGATAGGCCTAATATTTATACCGGTAATAAAATAGACTGAATTTATAAAAATCATTAGAAATACGTTTTAAAAAAAACCGTAAATACTCTTTCTTTAATAGTGTAATATGTTTTATCTATTTATTTGATTATTTTTTATTTTAAGTTATTTTTTTGGGGGGTGGGGGGCGGCGGGTGAGGTGGGTGTACTATTTTATCAGCGTAGAGTTATTAAAAGACACTGATCGGACATGTTTACATTACGAAGTATACAACAGTACAGCCGAATTTGCCCATACATATTTCAGTTAGGAGATTGGGCCTGTAATTGAATCCCGATCATCAAGTCGCATTATCCCTGTTTTTTTGTGTTCGCCATTCGCCGTGTTAGGAGAATCAGAGCCATCGAAAGTATGACGTTAAACATCATTTGGTTTGTTATATTACCTCAGCTGAAGGCCTTCTACATGTAATACAAACATAATTTCCTATAGATTTTATATGATGATTATCTCTAATATTAGTTATTCTCCAGATTTTATAGAATTATCTGTAATATTAGTTTCTCCTCGAGCTAGAAAATAAACTACCCGTATATTGATCAACTGATGGACATGTAATCAGAAATTTGATTTAATTTATGTCGACAAGAAACCGGATGTAAGAACGCCATTACTATATTAGTCTACACGAGAACGATGGACTATACCACTCAGTTTTCTGTCTACAGACCGAACTGGCGGACAGATGGCTGAAACTGGCCGCATATCTAACATATTAAAGATACATTATGGGAGATTAGATACAGAGTTGGCAGTTCTCACTATAAAAGTTAAAATATAGATAATGTAAAAGGAATAGGCTCCACTCTGAACCGAGATATTAGCGCTTGAATTTTAGGCCTAGCCTCGATCATCATTACTAAAGTCGGTACGATAAAAAACATAGATTGCCTGTACAGCGGCACTATGGCCAACTCTTATATCGAATTTCAACTTCCAAAGGTTTTATTTTTTTTACTTGCACGCCAATGCGTACACGGGACCTCGGTTTTTCGTTCCATCCGAACGACTAGACAGCTCTCCTTGTCAAGCCCTCCGCCCTACACCACTGACGAGGGAAAACCACGTCAGGGATCGAACCCAAAAATAAGACGCTAAACCCCATTTCATTTGATTTCATTACGGTACTGAATGTATCGGTTTATATTGCATCCAGTTATTGGTATTACCATTACTCATGTGTGTATAAAAACCCAGCTTTCATGTCACTAGTTATTCCCTGAGAACAAATTGCTCGTAATTTATTGCTAATGTCTTGAAAAATTATGACGCCACCCTGTCCGTTCTCGTTGATGTAACATGCTGATAAATTGAAATCGCCGACCACATAATATCGATCATTTGCTTCAGAACGAATGTTTCATGTTGAACATATTTCATAACCAAGTCTCCTTTACCCCCACGTATTTAACAAACAGTCCATCAGCAGCAAATTGGTGATAAACAATTTACTTGATAAAATAAAGTGAGGTTTCCATAGTGGAGAAATAACTTAGTAATCTGTTTGTATGAGAGAGAGATAGAGAGAGAGAGAGAGAGATTGACGTCCACTCGACACGAACGAGGTAATTTCGGGACTTGCATATAGAAAGATAGAAAGAGAGAGAGAGAAATGGGGTTAATGTCCAGTCGACATACACTAGGTCATTTTGGGACTAAAACATGGTTCAATTTTTATTTCAATAATTCGCTTGCGCGTAGGGGTCTTTAGCA